AGCAGGTAAGAGTAGCTTTAAAATAATATTGGTTGGGCAGACATTCCGCTTAAGAAAACTTAATTACATTTGAGTCATACGTACTCTCCCATTCAGTGCATATATTATAATCTGTGCATTGTAAACAGTATGGCTGGCAATAATGAACAGCAATATAAAAGTTATAAACAGCACAATAGGCTGAAAATGGTTAATTATTTGGTCCAAAACATTCCCAAGTAAGTGTCATTGAATTTTAATTATGCACTATTTTCTCATAAATTCTCTCAAACCTTGTATTCTCATAATTAGCAGTAGAGCTTTATTATACTGATTTTTAAACCTGAGTTAAAGAATCAATTTAGTATCTAAATAAGCCATCTTAAGGGAAATTAGGTCCATACAAAATGTAAAATCCTATTGTTACACCATGATGAGGATTTGATATGCTAAATGTTCTTGAAAATTTAGCCTAAGCCCAAACATACTGACCTCCAAAAACTCTTTTTTTGTTCCAATATGAATAATAGATATCTAAGCCTTTCAAGAAATTAAGACCATTTTATGATACTAATATATATTTTGAATATTATGAGGGGTCGTTGGCCAAATCTATATATTCTTTAATTAAAAATTGTGAATCTAATTATATAAATATATTTTTACAAGGGGTTTCATCATCATAATCTTAACAATATGAGTTAACAAGTTTCTAATAAGGTTAAGAACAGCCTTAAATGCAAGTATTATCTTTATTTTTATAATAATTTACGCCACAAGTAAGGCATACAAATGGTACTTAACAAATTGAGCATCCTTCGGGACAATATCCATTCGAAACCTCAATATAGCTTACACCCCATCCAGCTACCGAATTTCTAGGTTTTTTATAAAGATTAAGATTACGTATAGTTCCCTTATACTGTTAATAAAAATGAGTATGGAGGTATATCAAAAGATCCATATAATTTGTATAACTGGCAACTAATATAAGGTGAAATACAAGTAGATTAGATGTTAACCTCTTCTATTTTGAATTTATGAGATAAAACTTCTGAATTTGTTGAGAAAATTGAACCATAATAAGTGTTATTAATTTTGATTTGTACACCACATCCTAAAGGTATATTATCAAAAATCAAAAGTTGAATTTTCAATCCTATTAAATAATTATTCAAATTTCTTGAAATAATTATGAACCTATAAGGTCCTGAGTTTAATTTAAAAATCCCAAATAAGTAAGTAGGACCATTCTATACAACTTATGGACTAGTATCAATATTTTATGGATCATAAATTAAAGAATATTATGAAAAGATAGAAGGAGGTGGGGAACTAGATTAAATAACAAACTACCAGAAGCCAGCACTGATGTGATAGGATTCTAATTTTATAAAAATATTTACAAAGTTAGGTTTAACAGAACCCATTAACATATTTTTGTTCGGAAAATGGGCAATTTTATTTGCAACCCTAATTTTACCTATAAAATAAATTTAAGGGGCATTAAGGGCAAATGTTATGAGTTGGGTATCCTTAATAGCAGGTCGTGCATTAATTGTATTCAGGTCCTGTGCATGTAGAACAAGTTGGAAAACAATTCATTTTATATTGAGAAAAAATAATATTTCTTATCGAAACTTGTCCATTCCCTGCTACATTTGTTGAAAATTTAATATACCCTGAAACTTAGGAAGTCACTGTAAAATTGATGGTTTTGACTTCATAGGGTGTAGAATTACAAAAACCGATTGATGAAGGATAGGTTGTTGGAGAAGTATAGGTGTAAGTATAGTAAAATGATTCAATTGTGAAAGTGACCGCTTCGTTTAACCAATTATCATGGAAATATAAATCAAAGGAAATAATACCTCCACTAGGAATCAATTAAGGGCTATCTTTTTGAGCACTAGTATTTTTTGAATTTAGTGTAATATAGCTTGTATTAGGAGTTGCGCAATTAATAAAATTGGCAGATAATTGTTGTGTTGAATTGATAAAACCTTCTGTTTAATATGTTGTTCCCAGACCTGTAGATTCAATAAACAATTTATTTTGAATCAAATAGGCAGATTATTGATACCATTAGGCATTTAGGTATATAAATAAGCAACATAACATTAGATGCGAATTTAAAATCATAATCTTAATATTATGAATTCAAGAAATGCTTCTTTAGCATTTTAACTTTAAAATATATTAAATCACAAGATTTTAATTTTTAAATTATATCTATTATCATAGAAAATAACAATAGAAAAAGAATATTTCTAAATATCATTTCTCATTATTTTTTTCATTTAGGTATTTAGTAGTAAGCCTTTATAATAATCCAAATATTAAACTAGGATTTTGTATATTTTGATCTATAACTTAGCTCTTTTCATGTATTTAAATTACATTTATATCAAATTCCACCTGCCTTTTCTAAAAAATAACGAATCTTTCTGATTAATCTTAATACTTTTGTTCAAAATATATATGTTTTAATTCTCTGTATTTAAAAATGAAAGGATCAGAGCAATAATTATAATATTGTTGAAAAAAATTATTATTAATAACATAAATTAAAGTGTGAAGATTCTTCTAAAAATATTAATATTAGCACTTAATCTCCAAGGTTTTGAAAGAAAATCATATAAATGACCAACTATTATA